AAATTAAAGATGTACCACATTAAAATATTATATATGTGAATTGTATGGGTGTAAACCAGAATTATTTATAGTTAACCTAAATGGAATAAGCGGTAATCATGTGACTGGATGAATGAAGAGATGTAATGAACCTTGCTTAATGGGTTATAATTTTAATTGAAGTTTGCATATCTCACGTCTATATTAATTGAAGTATTTCTACCTCTTAATATACCCCTTGATATGTGTAATATTCAAACCTACTTTAAAACGAAATTCTATTATATAATGCTTTAAGACGAAATTCTATTATATAATGCATTAAGGTATTCAGGAACGGTTTTCTTTTAATTTTACAATTTTTTTGTGTTTTAAATTTTAAAACTTCAAGAGAAATCACGAAATACATCTCACACATACACGCAAATTCTTCCCTTGCCCCAAGCAGCTGCCAAGACTTACGTGTGAGACATTCCTTTTCCCTACGAGCAGGCATACTTACCAAAATTCTCCAAACCGCAGGCTCCCCAGCCTCAAAGGATTTTTCATTCACAGGCATCCTTGCGCGCATACAAGTCACTTATCGTGACTGTTCTGCCGCTGGGACACCACCTACACCAGCACCCAACTACAGGTAAGATCCTTTCTTCCCTCGCCAGGTGTCAACGTATATCTATTTTGTTAATACATCATTCCCTCACTAGTAATCGACAAACAATCAGGCCTCTACCCCATCATCTGATTACTAGAATGATGTATAATATTATACAGATGGATTAAAATGTTGAAATGGAAGGAAAACCAGAAAACATTCAGAAAATAAAGGCTCGATGCCTCTGTTTATGTTGCCGAAGCGCCAACATGCCAGTTAATGGGGTAGACACGGGCAACCATGCACAATGGTGTGCACGAGACATTGTCCAGACATCAGGACATGTCCCTTGGCATGTTATATACATGCAACATATACACGCAACACACAGTGCACAAGCAAAAGGTTCCTGTCAGGTACCCCTGCTACGCCGAGAGGACCTGTGCGAGGCATTATTTGTGTCGAGTGATGTGCGTGCATGCGCGCATAGAGGCTCACCCCTAAGCATCCATAGCACTGAGGCATACACCCTAGTAGCAAGTTGTTATGCACAGCAAGCCATGTGGGGTATGAGCATTGCTAAGCGTGCACATGCGAGGAGTGCCACGGGCTAAGGCACCATGTGTTGCGGGTGCGAGCTTGTGGGTTCTTATTCCCCCTATCGCGGGTTTAAAAGTAGATTGCCCAAAAATATAAAAAAGAAATTTAATTTCTTAATTTGAATTTAAATTTGAAACGAGAAATAGTAAAATAAAGCAATTAAAATAAAAAAGGAGATTGGGAAATAAAACATGAAGTTTGTACAAAAGAAAATTTAAGGAATCAAAAGGACAAGCTAAGAGAACTTGAAAATGAATTTTTTAAAAAAATGGGGAATCAATTAAGGAATTAGCAACTTCAAATTAACAAAATTTGATAAGAAATTTGAAGAATAGGATGAGAAAAATTTGGCTAAGTTGGAAATTTAGAAAATGGAAGTTTGTAAAAAATGAGAGTATTAGGTTTAATCTTGGTTTAGGCTTAAGTCTGGATTCAAATAAAGTAATAAAGTGAGTCTGGTGTCTAACATTAGTCTAGGCTAAGTCTGGACATTTTGTAAAAATGGGAGTATTGGGTCCCCTAGGTCTAGGTATAAGTATAGAACAGGTAATTAAAATAATAACATTGGAAAGTTTGATGTCTAATAAGATGTAATGAATAAAGTTTTCCAATTAAATCCAATGACCCTGCGATCTTGGAGGGGCTATGGTTCAGTATTTATGTATATATGTTTCTGGACACATGAATTGCATCCTCTTGTGGATGAAGATTCAGCTTGACTAGACATTTTGCATTCACTGCCCTGTGCACAGGGAGTAGACAGGGTGACCGAAATTATTGAGTGTTTTGTCTATATATTTGTTTTATTATCCGCATCACCATTCACGATGTTATTCGTTATATTCTGCCCTTCTAGGTACAGGCTTAGGCAGCTGCACGGGTAGGTACGTAAACAGTATAACTTAATTAAAGATTAATAATGCTGCAATAAAACTATGTCAAAAAACGAGTCAAAGTCTAAGTCTGGGTATGTGAGTCAATAATCTGACTTAATTCTGTTGTAAGATTTGATTTGATCTAATTTGTTCTGTTCTGATGCCTTTGGGGCCATGATACATTTTATATAATAATTTTGGTTTGGGTTCTCTAATAATTTGAAATGTGAGAAAATGAAATAAATTAGACTAATTTGGTAAGTTATCTAAATATTTTACTATTTAATAAGTATTTGTTTTTAAACAATGGTTGTATGACTTAATGTCTGTCTTATTGAGTTTATTAGAACTCACCCCAATTCGACCCGCCTCCAGATGATGACTTTACAAATATCTCTGATGATGCCTGTTTGGACCTGTTCCAAGATGTTTAATGGGAGCATTGGAAGACTTCCTCTTTTGTATTTTGTTTTTGACATGCTAGATTTTTTGATAAATCTATATATTTATATG